ATGTTTCATTTGCCTCTGTTTGCGGACCTCCCTTTGAAGGTTACCTATAGCTTTCGAACTCCCCCAGGGCAGCCGGGCCTTACGCTAGCAAGGGTGCAAGCGTCTCTCAGGCAGGACCCGACTCTTGCGCAAGCCTTTAGTGAACGCATGACGCATCAAGCTTCGACAACTTCAACGCTGGATGATCTCAACATGTGCATGCTGCAGACCTGGCAAAGCCTAGCTCCCCGATCTCCACCTGATGTGTCAGATCCGCAACGAAGTAACACCACGGTGAAGATCAGGGCATCCTGGCAGCAACGCAGTCTCCTGAGACAACGATTCCAAACCATTAGCCAGCAGCTCTGCCAACACAGCCACTCCGATACAAAATCGCTACTTGCCTCGCTCTTTGCGTACTGGAGACTCCAGAGCACCTATCGGCGGATGGCCAAGGACCTGCAGTTGCACTGCAAAGAGAGCAGACAACGGAAGGTAGAACAACAGCTTGTGCAGGAATCCTCCCAATACGGTACCAGTCTGACAGGCCTACATCGCATCTTGAAGAAGATAGCTCCAAAAATTAATCGCAGGAGAATGCAGCTCAGGATGTCCAACGGAGATATGCCAGACACCAAGGGACAACTTGCCATCATTAAGGAACATTTCGGTCAAGTGTACGCTGAACAGGCACGGACACCGGCCCAAGGCGATGCTGTGTGTCTGCCACTCCCGGAGTTTACAGACAAGGAAATCGAGTTGGCTTTTCAGAAACTGCCCAACAAAGCGCTACCTGGCAGGTATGCTCCGGCACCTCTCTGGAAACTCTGTGCTCAGCAGGCTTCTGAGCACATGATCAGGGACCTGCAACATCTCTATCAGGCTAGTGAAGCCCGGTCGATTCATTGGCGCCAGGTAGAGGCTGTGCTCCTGCCGAAGCCATCAAAACCGCTGTCCACTCCTGCTTCCCTCAGGCCGATATCCCTGTTGCCCCCGTATGCTAAGGTCCTGGCACAGCTAGTCGCCCGGCGCATCAAGCCAATTGTTACTGCTGCGGCGCAGACTCTCGGTCAATTTGCATACTTGCCTTCCCGGCAGGCAGCAGACGCGCTAGACCAGGCCCTGATGCACTGTGCTGAAGTACGTGCTGCCCGCAAGGCCTGGCCGGCAACATTTGGAAGAGGCATCAGGGCTGTGTCAGTGAAGCCTGTGCAGGCGGGGTGACTTTGTCGTTGGATCTGAGCAAAGCGTTTGACACTGTCGACTGGCCAACTTTACGGGCTGTATTGGTCGAATTCTGCGTGCTTGATGACATTATCCACCTTGTGCTCTTTCTTCGCACGGAAGCCAGGTACGTGTTCCGGGTCGCAGGAGAGGACACCTCCCTGCGACCTGGGCAGGGCATAAGGCATAAGGCAAGGCTGTAGTATGGCGCCGTATTTATGGGCGCTCTTGTCCCTCAGCATCCTCCGCCGTATGCAAGGCATGATCCCTGTCGCGGCGCACATCCCCTTTGCAGATGATATCCTAGTGCAGTGGAGGTTCCGGGATGAGGCAGGCCTCAGAGCTATTCCTGCCCAAATGTCGGACCTCTTTAGACTTCTGCAGGCATACAAGCTTCAGGTTTGCGCCGCCAAAACTGGGGTCTTGCGCAGCTGGTGGGGTACTCGAACGCACCAGATAGCCAAGACGTTCACTGCTCGCGTCCGAGGTCAGAGATTTTTCACGATTCATCCTGGTCCGGATGAGACAGTACAGCTCCCGATAGTTGACTCCCATCCTTATCTGGGCATTATCCTCTCCTATAAAAACTTTGAGATGCAGTCACTACGCTATCGCCTTCGGCAAACGTGGGTAGCCTTCAACCGGTTGAGTCACACCCTAAGAAATCGTAGGCTCCAAACCAGCCTTAGGCTACAGCTGCGTAGCAGTGTCTGCCTTGCCACTGCCTGTTATGGACTTCTGAGTACTGGCCTCAGCAAGGAGGGTCGCGAAAAGTTTCAGAGCGTGATCATCAAGCAGCTGCGCATGATCATCGGGGATCATTCTTTCCTTACTGGTCACAAGCACGATGAGGTTCTATCCAGACACAAAGTGGAGGATCCGCTTGCGCGCCTGGATAGGCTCCCACGCAGCGCATTCACAAAGCTCGTGAGAATGGGTATCTCATCCACTCCGATGCACTTACAGGGAGGTGGCAGCAACTGCTGGACGGCATGGAGGCGCCTGTCACAGCGCAGCCACAACAGCTGCACAGAGTGCGCAGAAACAACAAGTCCTATGTGAGATATGCGGGCTTGCCTTCCAGGACCCTGCTGCCCTCAAGTTCCACCACACCAAGGTGCACCAGCAGCGCACTAAGGAGCAACAACTTGAGCATAAGCAGAAAATGCGGGCTCGAGATGATGACCACATGCAACACTGTGTGGGAGGTCTCCCCCAGTGCAAGCATTGCGGTCACCGCTTTTCGGCGTGGCCGGCCTTCATGTCCCACATCAGCAGACAATGCTGCCCAGTTCTGCATCTTGGCGAGGAACAACCGCCAGAGATGAGAGATCGCGAGCCCGACCCTCCACCTCTCAGTCAGGACCCCAGTATGTTGCAACAGGCTCGTGAGCAAACACTGGAACAATTAGCGGCATCAGTCCATGCTAGGAACCGACACCACTTCTGTCCAATCTGTGGTCTGTGGCTTACCAAGCCAAGATTTCTCAAGTCGCATATCGTTCAGCAACATGCCAGCATCAAAACCAGATTGCCTCAGCACAACGAACTGCTCATGTGTTTTTCAGCGGGGCCAAAACTTTGCCCATACTGCCACCTCAAGCATGACCGAGGACGTGTCGCGTGCCCAGTTTTTCAGACTGCAGCCATCCTACATGACATTGCGAGTAACCTGACTGCAGTCTCAGACCAGCCCGAGGAAAGCCGAAATCGAACAGGGCAAGATGGAGATGCAAGTCTTCCAATCCATCATGGGCGAGCCGAGCCAGGCACCGATGCAATGCAACTCCCCAAACGGGACAGGGAGGAGGACGATGCGGAAGATCAGCAGAAACGGAGGCCACCTCCCAGATCTCGCCAGCAGGGTGCCAAAGGCCGGGGCAGGGGCTCGGGCCAAGGGCGCAATCTGCAAAGCCAAGACCTGGGCTACGATCGCGCAGGCAAGATCTACAGCCCGCTGCCAAACACGGAGCCGACTCCTCCGCAGGACGGGCCATCACGAAGCTTCAAGAGCTGATCCTACGCCCACGATTGGTGACCCGGTTCCATGCCTCGCGGAAGCATACTGCGCAAATGACGGGAGAAGTCCTGCCCTTTCTTCTCGAGATATCCAACAGGGGCCCGCATGCACAGGAGGCATACGAGATCCTCAGCCTGATGGTCCACAGTGCGGCGATCCAACCTGGTGGGAGGGCACCTCCGCTTCGAGCGCATCCAACGCTCCCCACCTGGCACAAGCGCTCGACAAGGCCATCCGCTGAAGGACCTGTGCCTCCTCAACAACTCCAATCACTGTTATGCAAATTCCGTGGTTGTTATGTTGATGCATCTGCGCTGCAACATACATGCACGTACCACTCTCGAGCTAGACAGTTTTCTTGGCCGTCTCCTCAGGACATCGCGTAAGGCTCTATGGTCGGACATTGCATGGTCCACTCTGGCACGTGGATGGGTCAGGCCCTCATCTCAACACGATGTCACTGGCTACTGCCTCTGCACCAAGTCTTGACACCTCAGCAATCCCTAGGTGACGTCATACGAGTCTGGCGTGCTCAGGAGGGAACACATGCGCTGACTGGCACGCCACCATGCATCTTGCTCCAGCTAAACCGGATGGGGTCAATTGGGAACAGGCGCAATCATACCCCTGTCAAGCTGAGTACACAAGTTGACATGCCTGTATTCACGGAACCAGATTCCGTTGACATCACCTGGCAGAGGTACAGCCTGAGCGCTGTGATCATCCACCGGGGTATGAGCCTCACCTCTGGACATTACCAAACGGTCACTTTCTGGAATGACCAAGCCTGGATCCATGACGATGGCCAAAAGCCTAAAAAGCTTCGTACTCTGTCTGAAGTTGAAGCCAACTGCTACCTTGTGTGCTTGCAATATGCCCAGATGTGAGTAGTAGCGGGGAGGTTACCTCCGGTCGCACTGTACAGTCACTTTTGAGTGCACCGAAATCTCTCTGTCTCACTGAGGCCACCTCACGTAGGCGCCTGCGCTGTCGCTTGGTTCTTTAGGAACGGGCAGTGCGGCAGTTGACCAAAGCTCTCAACAGAAGAGCCACATACCGACCGGTATGCGAAGTGACACGCCTGGGGAGATCTTCTCGCTGCGTCCGAAAGAAAGAAGTTTATGTTAAATCCACTTTCCGCATGCGCAATTCCTTGTTGTATCCAGCTATTGGCCCAAAAGCGTGAAAGAGTTGCCAAGATGCTTCATGTGGGTTTTTGAAAGCCCACCCACCCTCCCTGTGTGGAGTAGCTTTCTGTGTAGCGTGCAGTTCTTACAGCAGTGGAAGGCATAGGGTGCAGATACCGCAGCAGCGGTGACAGTAGTTAAGTGCGGTAGCGTGCAGTTCCCACACACACCGTGGAAGGCACAGTGCAGAGTTACTGCATCTGTAGTTCAGTGTAGCTTCATCATGTCATGAGGCGTTAGCGTGAGCATGGTTGCGCCCTCCGGCTTTCAACCTTGAGTGCTGTGTTACTTTCATTGTTATCACATTTTTTTATGGCCCAACAGCCGGGGGGCTTCAACTTATGCGTGCAGATACTCGTGAATCTTTTGCATTTCCACCATGACCAAAAAAAGGGAGGGAACTTCGTCCTGCGTTGAATGATTGCATGTTGGCTTTTGGATATATTATATGATTTGAATATTGTTTGGATGATGTTTGATGAATATCATTCGATGAACGCTTTTGGGAATAGCTGGATACTAATATGAACGGCTTGGGTCGCCTTCTTTATTATTGTCACGGCCGGGACCCTACCAGCCTGCTGCCCTACATGGATGACCTCATCTGGCTGACCCAGTCTCGTTTCGGGTTGGTTCGGATACTGGCCTCAATCTTCCTGCTGGAAAATCTGGGTGTGCCTTTCGCCTGGAAGAAGTTCAGCGGCGGGACAGAACATTCATGGATTGGATTCTCTGGCTTTGTATTCGAAAGGCGCCTGGGCATATCGCAATCTCGCGCAGACTGGTTGGTGGCGTGGATCAGGCGCACGAAGGCGGAGGGCGTGTGAGGATAGCGGATCTGTCTGCTGCGATAGGACGGCTTTCTTTCTGATGTACGCTGCTGCCGCTTTTCCGTCCTTTCTTGGGTTCATCGAGGGCGCAGGTCCATAAAGGTGCCTCGGGAGCCCACGTGCGATCGGGAGTTCTTTCGCGCTGACGCTAGGCTGAGGGCAGCTAAATGGTTGTCGCAGGTTGGGCTTGTGTTGATTCGGATGATGTCAAGAAATGCAGATGGTTCTCTGAGGAGCTGTCGCGCTTGGAGGCACCATATTTCTGCATGGCTGGGGAACCTTATCGGGCTATATCTTCGCTTGAGCTTCTGGCTACGCTGATTGCCATCCTCCTCTTTAAGCCAGGAGAGGGAGCCACTGGCAGCGTTTCTTGCTCGGCGGGGACCGATAACATGGGCAATTCACACCTTACGTCACGGTGGCTCACAACATCCTTCCCTTTGGTTGCCGTGTTGATGGAGCTGGCCTGTCTGCTCCATGCACATTCCGTTGACTTTTGTCTGCATTGGCTGCCGAGATTCCAGAATACATTGGCAGGCAGTTTGACAAATGGCGACTTCAAGGATTTCGATCCTTCCTTTCGATTGAGGTTTTCCTCCGCTAACTACCACGGCATGATTTTGAAGGAGATGTTGGACGCGGGTTCGGGCCTGTACTCCGAGCTGGCGAGCTTGATCTTGAAGAAGAGAGTTGGGCTGAGCAGGGTCCCGAAGTCTGAGAAGCTCAGGAAAGTGGATCCTTGGAAATAGCACCCCGTCATCTTGCGAGAAGGGAGTTAAGGGTGCGTGATGCTACCCTTTAGTTTCGGCAGTTGCCGCCGGCATCTGCATGGCTCCCCTCTGTTCACTCAAACTTTGAATTGCATGATCCTCAGTTGTGAAAAAGACTTCGGCCTTTCCTGCTTGCAGTCTTACATGTTCAGTGTTGTGCACACCTTTGATGAACCTGATTGTCTTGACTTGATTCGATTTCTAGAAATTTGATCTCTGATATATTTGATGGAGGTTATGCTTGCGCATAACCTTTCTGGCCAGTGCACTAAACTCGACAGTTTCGGCGTTTGGGAAAATCACTGAGAGCCGTGCCCATGTCATATTTGCAGGGGGCGATGGGGGGTTTTCAACAATGGCCGTTGCCAACGAGGCTCCATTTGATAGTCCCGGAAAATGTACTTGCATGTGGACTATTTGGACAACAATGTTGCAGCTGGTATCCATAAAGAGTGTACTGAAACATGAGTGCGTGTGAGTCGTGAACGTCAGCTGTTTTGAGAGCGTGCCAAGTTTCGTGTCCATGTAACTCAGACTCAAGTGTGTGGATTTTTCATGCTCATGGCTTGCGTGCGTGTCTCAGCTTTTAGATTAGATGGTATTCATTTATAAACGACATCTTCGGAATATGAGCCATGTGCGTCACGCATGGCTTAGCGGAAGGAGCTGAAGCAACATAAAATTGCGCACAAGAACTTCGAACACAACGACATTAATCAACGTTTGGCATACTTGTGCAAGACTACTCTGCTTTTTGGGGATGACTTTGCAAAGTTGTTTACATTGATTCTGAACGTTGTAATTCCAAAATATGCACGTATCTCGCAGACCAAGCTTTGTAAATTTCAGGTTGCATGCGTGCTTTTTTGCTCGCAAGGATTTCGCAGCTGTGCTGGACAAACGCGATGCGCATGTTCATGTCTTTGCTCAAAGCAAGCGTTTTCACAGTTGCATACATGTGCTTGCATGGAGTTTCGACAAAAATTGGTCTTGAGGCCAGATTTGCCTTCGAACAAGTGGGGCTCACATTTGCCGATGCATCTTCAACATTAAGGGTGTAACCAGACAGTCAGCAAAGTTGCAATGCTGGGCCTGCATCTTCGACATTCCATCGGAGTGGGGTGCTCAGTGCTGTTCTGCCAGATGACTGACCATGTTTGTTGTTGAAAGATCAGACGTGGGGGTTTGCTTAAAGAGGGGGCCCCAACACGGACCCGCTTTGTTTTGGAAGCCTTATTGAATATGATTCTGGCTCATGCATGCAGGTGGTGGAGCAAATCCTGCAATCAAAGCTGGGCTTGGCAAGGGCTACGGCCTTTGCTACAGTTTTTTCAGAGGGCTTTGGTGGCCCCATGGTCTCGAAAATTCCTGGCTTTAGAAGACTGGAGCTGAGGCATTCTGAGGTATTTGCTTGCAGGCCAAGCAGAGGTGCATGGTGAAAGTGCAGCGATCGCACCCTAGTCCAACACAGCATTTTTACCAAACCAGCTAGCCCAATTTGTTTCTTTGGATCTGGAGTGCCACGCCGGACAGCAACTGATCGTGTGTGACAGCGCTTGTTGCGAAATGCGCCATGTTCAAGCTCGTCTGTCTGCAGTTTTCGTGGCGACAAAGAAAATCAGTTACAGCTTAACGTGAAGGACAGCCATTGTTGCAGGATGTGACATCTGGTTTGTCACCAGCCTTCAGGCAGCGCAACATCAGACTCAGCTCCCAGAAATTGGGAGTTTTTGCGCACGCTCTTTGTTGTCCGTCGTGTCGTTTTTCGTCAAAGGTTGCTGTATCAGTCTCAACTTAGTCTCGAGGGCAAGAAGTTTGAACTTACCATGTGCAGCCAACGCGAGGCCTTCATCCTATTGCTAGTCCAAACTCATGTACGACCAACTCAAGTTGGCTGATTCAAGGCGGCACGGATTCTGTGAAAATTGTTGTGTCACCAGCCATCAGGCAGTGCAGCATTAGACTTTGCTCCCATAAGTTCAGAGTTTTTGCAGGTGCTCTTTGTTGTCCGTCTCATCGTGAGTCGAAGGGTTGCTGAATCAGCCTTGAGAAGCCGTGCCATCCTTTGGCAAAGGTTGCATGCGTGAAGGGGCAAGAAAGTCGATGTGCAGCATGCTTCTTTGGTACAGATAGCTCTTAGCTGACTGCCATGTTGATCTACTGCGCAGGTTGCCCTCAAGGGCGAGAAGTTGAAACTGACCAAGTGCAGCCAACGCAAAGCATTATCCAATTGCTAGTCCAAACTGCTGCATGCCCAACTCAGTTTGGCTGATTCACGGCAGCACACGGCTTGTTCAACATGGGATGAGGTTAACAGGAAGTAGAGCCGTAGCACCCAGAGTCGACGAAGAGGATGTGGCTTGTGTCATGTGAAGAGCGGGAGCCGTGAGAGCTCTATGCTCATGAAGGTGTCGAAGCTTTTGCATGTACCTGCTCTGGATGCTGCAAGTCCCACTTGTGGCCCATGGGTTCGGTTCGGTTGTGTGCTCTATGGCTGTTCAGGGTTTGCATGCCGGCCTTGAGAACACCCTGACGGCACATGTTCAGGCTTATGCATCTGCCATTGTCATGGAACTCAGAAAATCACCATAGCAATGGTCTGTCATACGTCAAACTGAAGGACCACCATTGTTGCAGGATGCTGTGACATCTGCTGTGCAACCAGCCATCAGGCAGTGCAGCATCAGCGCACACTCTGCTCACAGAAGTTGAGATGTTGAGACTTGTTGTGCGTGCTCTTTTTTGGTCGAGGAAGGCTGCCGAATAAGCCCTGAATCATCGCGTTGCCCGCGTTTGACAAAGGCCGAAACGCGAAGGGGCAAGGGAGTCGATGTGTAGCATGCTTCTTCGGTACAGACAGCTCTTAGCTGAATGCCATCTCGATTTAGTGCGTAACCATGTGCAGCCAACGTGAAGCCTTCATCCAACTGCTAGTCAGAACACCTTTCCATTGGGCAAGGGTTGCTTAGGTGCCTTCGTGACTGGCCAAGGGTTCCAACTATCAAAAGCCATGACGGGAGGGCTCTAGTTCTATGCGGGAAGCCTTTGTGAGTGCACTAGAAATCAAACTCGAGCATGCCCAACTCAGTTTGGCTGATTGAAGGCAGCACAAGGCCTGTTACCGATGGGATGAGGTTGACAGAAAGTGGTGCCATAGGACACTGTTGACAAAGAAGATGCGGCTTGACTCCGAAAATCTCTCCAACAACCGTGACATTTGTTTTGCCACAAGCCATCAGTTAACATTCTGCTGAAAGGAAGAAGTTGAGAGTTCATGCGCACGTGCTTTCTTGTCCATCTTGTCGTGAGTAGAGGAGGGCTGCTGAAGAATCAAAGTGTTGCCAGCCTTTGGCAAAAGGCTACATGTGCGAGGGGGCGGAAGAGTCGATTTGTAGCATGTTTCTTCTGCACAGACAGCTCTTAGCTGAATGCCATATTGATCTAATAGTTGAAGCTGACCAAGTGCAGCCAATGCAAAACCTTCATCCCATTGCCAGTCACAACTTGTGTACGCCCAACTCATCTTTGCTGATTCGAGGCAGCATAGATGCTGTGAACTCTGTTGTGCCACCAACAATCAGGCAGCACAGCATCAATGAACGTTCTGCTCAAAGAAGTTGAGAGATTTTGCGCGTGCTCTTTGTTGTCCATCTTGTCATGGGTCGAGGAGGGCTGCTGAATCGGCCTTGAATCACCGTGTTGCCAGCCTTTGGCAAAGTCTCCATTTGCGAGGGGGCAGGTGCCACGTTGATCTACTGCGCAGGTTGCCCTCAAGGGCGAGAAGTTGAAACTGACCAAGTGCAGCCAACGCAAAGCCTTGATCCAATTGCTAGTCCAAGCTCGTGCGCGCTAAACTCAGTTTCGCCGATTCGACCCAGAATGTACGCTGCGAAATCTGTCGTGCCACCAGCCATCACGCAGTGCAGCATCAGTGAGCACTTTGCTTGCAGATGTTGAGACTTTTTGTATGTGCTCTATGTTGTCCATCTCGTCATGAGTGGAGGAGGGCTGCCGAATGAGCCTTGAATCACCGTGTTGCCAGCCTTTGGCACGGGCTCCAAATGCGAGGGGGCAGGAGAGTCGATTTGTAGCATGCTTCTTTGTTAGCTGAATGTCCTACACTCAAGGGCGAGAAGTTGAAGCCGACCAAGGGGCAGCCAACGCGAAGCCTTCATCCCATTGCTAGCCCAAACTCGTGTACGCCCAACTCAGTTTTGCTGATTCGAGGCAGCATGGACACTGTGAAATCAGTTGTGTCACCAGCCATTAGGCAGTACTGCGTCGATGAACATTGCTGAAAGAAGTTGAGAGTTTATGCGTACGTGCTGTCTTGTCCATCTTGTCGTGAGTAGAGGAGGGCTGCTGAAGAATCAAAGTGTTGCCAGCCTTTGGCAAAGGCTACATGTGCGATGGGGCGGGAGAGTCGATTTGTAGCATGTTTCTTCTGCACAGACAGCTCTTAGCTGAATGCCATATTGATCTAATAGTTGAAGCTGACCCAGTGCAGCCAATGCAAAACCTTTATCCCATTGCCAGTCCCAACTTGTGTACGCCCAGCTCATCTTCGCTGATTCGAGGCAGCATAGATGCTGCGAACTCTGTTGTGCCACCAACCATCAGGCAGCACAGCATCAATGAACGTTCTGCTCAAAGAAGTTGAGAGATTTTGCTCGTGCTCTTTGTTGTCCATCCTGTCATGGGTCGAGGAGGGCTGCTGAATCGGCCTTGAATCACCGTGTTGCCAGCCTTTGGCAAAGTCTCCATTTGCGAGGGGGCAGGCGCCACGTTGATCTACTGCCCAGGTTGGCCTCAAGGGCGAGAATTTGTAACTGACCAAGTGCAGCCAACGCAAAGCCTTGATCCAATTGCTAGTCCAAACTCCTGCATGCCCAACTCAGTTTGGCTGATTCACGGCAGCACACGGCTTTTTCAACATGGGATGAGGTTAGCAGGAAGTAGAGCCGTAGGACCCAGAGTCG